ACTATTTCTACACAAAGTAAATAACCATGATAGTGAACATACAGTCAAAAATTACATAAATATTTTCTACAGCGACAACGGAACGCAGTTTACAGGAAGAGAATTCAAGGAATTCTGTAGATCATTGTCCATTGGTCATGTGACAACGCCAGTATATCATCCAAGATCGAATGGACAGGCGGAAAAAATCGTGGACACCTTTAAATGAACATTGAAGAAAAATCAAGGCATGGACACGAATGAAAGAAGTATTCAGAAATTTTTGGCAGTATATCGAATCACGCCAAACCCGAATACAACATCAGGGTTATCGCCAGTAGAGTTAACGTTTGTGAGAAAAATATGCTCTGTGTTCAACAGGCTGTTGAAGAAAACTGGTAAAAAAAAAAACCAGATGACTAAAAGCGTATATATTTACATACATACATACTTATATATATATATATATATATATATATATATATATTATAAATTAACTGATTTAAAATATGGTTTCTTCGCTACACAGGAATTACCAAGTTTCAAAAGCCGAAGCTAAAAACTTCAAATTTAATTATATTATTAAATTAAAAGCATTAGTTCTGTTTCATCTTCAAGCGAATTTTGGAATATATATATATATATATATATAGTGGCTGTCGACTAAAAAAGCAAGTCTGACCATCACTGTTATGTTCAGTACAGCAGTTAAGCTCCCCCAAAAACACTACATTCATTTGTTGTGTGAACGACAGTGGCTCATAAAGCAAAATCTTGTTACATATATGGCATGTGAAATCATCTCCAGGTTGTGGAAGTTGACTTTGAACATCATCACTTCCAATGTGTCAATTTGTCAAGCCCGACCTAGACTTGTACATTCTAGTGCAGATCGGGCATTCAAAGCATGCCATTACAAAATCATCATACACAATAGACTGTTGGTGTGAATTCTGGTGACTGATCAGACCTGCCTTGGGCAGACATATCCAATTGCATTGGACACATGGCCAGATTGGCACCTCATGGCAATTCAGAGGTCCCTTCTGAACTCCTCTCTTCAGTTTTGCATTTTTTGTGATGCCTCATGGAAGATCTTGATGCCATCAGCAATACCAGCTCTCCAAGAAACCCGTTCTTCAGCTAAAGTCTCTCAGTTATCTAGACCAATACTGCACTTGTATAGTGACTCTTTAAGGCAATCTTTGTAATGAAGTTTTGGCTTGTGCTGTGGTCTTTTTCCCCATTTCCAGTTCTCCACACAATATCACCTTTCCTAACAGAATTACTACTCTCCAAAGCAAACATACACAACTGTAACAAGAAATCAAAAGAAAATGGTTAAATCTGTTAACACAACAATAAAAACAATATTTCCATACATGATAGTGATATGTCAAGGAAAGGGATATATTTGTTCGAAGTAAGAGGGGGAACCCAGGTGTATGCATATTCATTACATCACCTCCCCCTGAGCTAAATTTTCCCGTGAAGTCTTTTTCACCTCAATCCTCCTTGCAGTGGTGGCATTTGACACACTGGTACCTCTGGCCTTGAGGTCGGGGATACCTCTATTGGCGAATGTTGACTTACTGGAACGGGAATTTCAAATGCGTCATAGAGGACTTCCATTGGAATCTCTTCGGTATTTTCCGTGACCTCTGTAGCGTGTTTGGGTCTCAATTGATTCCAATGTCTTTTGCACCGAAATTATTCCCCTTTTATGTTATATATGACCTGTCCAATTCTTTTGGTTATCATTTCTTCTTCCCAATACATTTTTCCATCCCTAAAGTTCTTGAAAAATCTTTGTCACCTGGTTTATACGCTTTAGTCATCTGGTTTTCTTTTTTACCAGTTTTCTTCAACAGCCTGTTGAACACAGAGCATATTTTTCTCACAAACGTTAACTCTACTGGCGATCTACAGAATTCCTTGAATTCTCTTCCTGTAAACTGCATTGCATTGTCGCTGACTAAAGCAACTAAAAATTTCATTAAGTGCATTTATTCTATTTGTTGCAGTCAGATGTCTGCACTTAACAATTTCTGGCCACTTAGTGAAACTGCCCACAATGATCAGGTAATAAGATCCATTTATGGGCCCTGCATAGTCGATATGCAATCGAGTCCATGGGACATCTGTCTTTGGCCATGGTTGAATCTTTACCAATGGATCCCTTGCTGCCAATTGACATCCTCTGCACTGTTTCACCAAATTTTCTGTCTTGGTCTATCCTCGGCCAATAAGTATAGCTTCTCATTAGAGATTTCATTCTAGAAATCCATGGATGGCCTGTGTGAAATTCTTTCAGAATTTTCTTTTGCAGAGTAACTGGCATTACAACTCTATCTGTGTATATACCTGTTCGCAGATTGAAAAAGGTGACACACTAATTCCTTTTTTAGTTTTCTTGTTCAACCAGACTTGCTTTTTAATGAAATCATCATTCACTGCTGCTTTTTTCACATCTTCTAGCGTAACCGGTAGTTCTCTAATAGTGTTACATAACAGACCCGACAATTCACTTTCGTCTCTTAGCACTGCTATTACTGTTCCCAACTTCTGCAACATTAGTGATTTTTTTCGTTGGACCATTGTTCGCATCTTTTCGTAAATATTGTTTCAAACCTACAAAAATAAACCGAAAATGTTGAACCACTGTCAGGGTCGTATTTAAATTCAGAGAGTGAATTTGAAATTCCTTCAGCAGAAAAAAATCTAGAACCCGGTTCTTTTGTTGTCCTAGATAATACGTCTTCCCAAAGTACTTTATTGTCTTTTGCCTGTTGTTTGAATAACTTTTCAAACTTTTTTTGTTGCTGAAACAATTGTTGTTGTTGGAATTGTTGCTGTAAAGTGACTTGTAGCACCTTAGTTAATTCTACAATTTGTTTCATTCTGCCAACATATCCACAAGAAAAAATTTTGCTCCAATTTATGTAGACAATAAAATTTTCTAAGTCCAAACAAGAGTGGGGTACAATTTCTTACTTTCTGTAAGCGTTGCATAAGTTTTTCCTTTTCTAATGTTCCTCGTTAATAAGCGTTAAAACAAAAAATGAGGGAAAAATTACTTACTTTCTGTAAGCGTTGAACAAATCTTTGTAACGTTCTTTGTTAGTAAGTGTGATCAACTGTAAATTTTTTTTTCTTTTGTTTTAACTTGTGAGTTCGTTTCAAATCTCATCGCCAACTGATATGTCCCGGAAAGGGATATATTTGTTTGAAGTAGAAAAGTGGTTTTTGGACTACTGTAACCGAGTAGGACAATCTAGCAGGTAACCGTAATGGACTGGTTCTCATTGTAGTGGTAGGCAATAGGCGAAGACTATAGGCGTAGCCAATAGGTGTCCCCCTGTACCTCCACATCAGTCTATATTTATGGCTGACACCAGCCAATCATATTACTGTGAGGGGGAACCCAGGTATATGCATATTCATTACATCAGATAGTAATTTTCAGTTGACAATATGAATACAATAGCATTTTTCTAAATTGTTCTAGTTGCTAAGGACATTTTGATTTGCTGTTAATAGTTATCTTGTTTTTAATAAATTCATTTTGTTTTTGTCTTGAAAAAGTCTACATTGGACAAAATGTGTTAGCTAATAATACAGTTTTCCTACTGTCTTTTACCTTTATACATACATACATACATACATATATATATATATATATATATATATACATACATACATACATACATGTACATATGTATACATATATACTTACATATGTATACATATATATATATATATATATATATGTACTTATATATGTATACATACATACACACGTGCATATATATAGATGTATACATACACATGTGCATATATATATATGTATGTAAGCAAATATATGGATATAGATCTGACAGTATGAAGAAAAATATATACGGAAAAAACAAACAAAAATCCTTATATGCAATTATGCTGTTTTAATGTTAATATGTCAACGTCGGACGTTTCGGTCTAATAAACCATCTTCACATGTACATATATATATATATATATATATATATATATATGTTTACATACATACACATGTGCATATATATGTATACATACATACACAATTACATATATATATATACATACATACACATGTACATATATGTTCATATACATACATACATACATACATATATATACATACATGTACACATATATACATACATACATACATGTACACATATATACATACATACATACATGTACACATATATACATACATACATGTACACATATATACATACATACATACATACATGTACACATATATACATACATACATGTACATATATATGTATACATACATGTATATGTATACATATTAGAAAGAAAATTACCATATTCATTTTTTCCTGAGTACTTTCGACATTAACACAATGTTGTCATTAGAGCTTTCATTTTTCTAAGGCAAAAATTGTTGTGTTCATCATTTTTTACGTGTGGAGTGAAAAACTCTAAGATAATTATCTTTCTTTAATAAGGTTACTAATAAACTTGTCCGTAATTACAAGAGGATCCTATTAAAAATAAGTCAACAAAAATTGTCTAAATTATTTAATGAGTCATGTCTTACATACACATACATACATACATACAAACTTAGATATAAGTAAACACTAAACAGTGACAATTTGGAATATAGAATCAGCTTTTGTGAAAACTCTTGTTTTTCTACCACCATTCTGTTTTTATTCCAAAATATTTAGTAAGTAGTTCATTGAGATTCCATTTTTTAAAAAACACATTTTAATATTTTTCTTTGTTAGTAGTACTCAACTTCAATAGTAGAACAAATGGAAAAATGAAGTAAAGAAAAAACGGGAATCAAGAGTCAAAAAGTATCTAAATGGCCTGAATATATTCTGGAAGTATATTTTTTAAACAATCATCCAATAAGTCAAGCAAATTTGGCAAATACAACAACTCTAGTACAATATTAAAAGTTTAAAAACGAAGAACTGAAGACAACAAAAGGGCACATAACTCCAATGGTATAGATCACTTACCTTTTGGGCATACAATTCCTCAGGTGTTGTTGATCGAAGACAGACAAGTTGGTAGGTCCGATTGACAAATCTGTAAAAAAATTGAAATGTCGATGACCACGATAAATGTAATAAAAGTTCCTTCCAAACGGCTATCAATCGAATCATGACATTTAGTAGTCACTTATTTCATTTCTTTGAAATCATTTGCCGTTTTGTAAATTAAGTAACGCTTCCTTAAGACACCTTCTGCTTCAACAATTTGTCTATAAATGGGGGTATAGTAACTGTGCTGGACAGCGATAACCCTAACATTAACAAACTGAAAACGCTACAAACAACAATTAACCGATAAAACTTTGGACCCTACAGTCAGCAGTAAAAATGATATTCTACACAGTAGATAGGGACGGGGCGTCAATGTAACTAGTCAACAGTCAACACCATCCTGAAGAAGTCACCATTACCTACCTTACTCCAATTTATTTCTTGTCATTTTTATGTCATTAGAAGAAGAAGTTACGGTGAAAATATTAAATATTTTACTCAAAAAATTATCTCAGCATAAAAAAAAAACTTTGGATTAAGAACGCTGTAACAAACATGAGTTTAACAGATTTTGCAAACAAGGAACACAATACTCGTACAATGTAGTTTTGTGTTCCTTGTTTGGAAAGATAATAAATTTTATTTTATGTACTAAATACATATATTTATTTTTAAAATTTAAGGAAATTGCTCATTTTCTTGAAAGTTGAAAATGGACAAGAAAAAAATATAATTAAATTAAATATGCAACACTAACACACAAAAAAATATATGATGACGGTGACCATAAAACTAAAAGTAAAAAAAAAAAAAAACAAATATAATTTTTTTTTTAATTATTGTACCTCAATGAGATCGCTAAAAAATCAGCATACCGTGATAAAAACATGCTCCAATTCAAACGTAATGAAAATAAATAAATAAATACATTGACAAATATACAGCTCAAAAAAGGTCAAATGAGACTTTGTTTTTTTACTTTAGTTTACTAATACTTCCATTGAATTTTAAGCTCTCAGCTATGATGATTGGGTTCGTTTTTTGTTTTGTTTTTTAAATAACGCAATAACGAAATTTAAGTTTTCAACTAATCATGAAAAATGATGATCAATTGTAGGGAAAAGATTGCGTCGCCTTAATATTTTAGGTGTGTGCAAGAAGAGTTTTTACTTTTTTTTAGAGACTGTGTTTTTTGTTGTTTTTCTTAGCTACAGGGATTGAATACACAGATACACACATCTAGTGAATTATTACCTAGAAAAAACAGTATTCGAAATGCTGGGCTGGAACTCGGAAACAAATCACTGTCAGTCACGAGTTAAAAAAGCCAAGCCGACATTAACTCTGGCTTAAAAAGATTAAATTAATAATTACTTTAAAACTAATCAATTTAGAAAATAAATGTAAAAAAAAAATGTATCCTATGAGCAAATAAATAGCGAAAGTAGCAGTATCGTTTTTAAGTAACCACAATTTTCATTCGTTTTTGTTTATTTTTTTCTAAAAAATGTATTGTAGAGGAAACAAAAGAAAGTCATAATGGACTTTGTAATAATAACATTTTAAAATTATTTCTTAAATTCTTTGTGACAACTGTAAAACCAGGTACCATCCAAAAAAAACAAAACGGATACTTTTTTTTTTCTGATAAAAGTGTAGAGGCCGGTTAGTTGGTGTGACCTCTCAAACTTATATTTAACGCAAAACACCACAAAATATGAAACACGAAAGGGTTTTGAACGAGATTTATATTTATATTTGTATAATGATGTACAAGCATAGGAATTACTTCCCTTCTACGGGATATAAAGTCTACTAATGAAATTTTTTTTATCTGAGCTCATAGAAAGTAGAATGAAATTGCCGCTCAAATGTTGACTGTGAGATTGTTGAAAGAGTTCTGTAAAGCTGAGAATATGTTGAGTAAACTTAAAGTTGAAGGAGTGAATGTTCCGTAATGTTTATAATTAATTTTCCATTGCTTGTAATGTTATGCAATTAAGTTTCGTTGCTTGTAGTTGAATATTCACAATATATTAATTTGTAATGTTCGTAATGAAGTTTGAAAAGTTTTGTACATACGTGTATGTGTGAATATGTTGGAAAAAAACTTGTACGCGGGTGGATTGTAACACCCACTTGTGTGTTAATTGACCAAATAGAAGTTGAAGTTTTCTGAAAATATGTATGAAGCTGGATAAGCTCTGTGATCCGCTTTTTGCACAGATTTGCACAAAAATCATTGATAAGAAAATGGTAACATGATGCTAAAAAAGCAAAAACGCTACTCTGTTCATAAAATATTTACCAAAAATCAGGAAATTATCCAATTTAAACAAAATTTTCAAACCTTTTAAGTTCAATATAATATTGTTTGTACTCAAACAGTTCAAAGTTTGTGGAAAAAGCATGTGTAGGTGTGACTTATGTTGTGCTTGACCTTTGAGTGTTTGCTGATGTGAGTTAAGTTTGAATTGAATGAAGGAAATAGACTATGGTTATGTTAAAGAGGATTTTTAACTTATAGTCTGGACTTCAGTTGAAAGTTATTTTATGATGAGTGTCATCACGTAGCGTGTAATCTTTTCAGCTGATTTTTCCCCTCTCCTGTTTCTTAATTGTTTGTTGCTTATATAAGCAATATAAGTCACGTGATAGCCTCCAGAAAATGTTTTAAAATTTTGGCACAACTGTACCTTTGATTAGGTCAAATTAAAGTCAGACATGTGGACATAGTCGATGACATACCATCTGATATTTTTAAACCAATCCAATTACATTAGTTGTATAATTTAATTTGGAGTGTATGTTTTGTTTAATTTTTGAAGTTTTGAGAACAATATAGGATCTGGATCCTATAGTCACTTTCACTTCCAGCTTTTCCATATATGCAAGGATTTTCTTTATGTAATTTTTTTCTTTTTTTATTTCCCCCCATGCAAGGCTGTAAAGACACTAAGACACAAGGGGTTACTGGGTGTAGAAGAATTAGAAACACAAACATTACTAATGAGCAGAACAAAAAGAGTAATCAGGAGGTCAGTTGATAGCAATTGACATTGCATTTAAATTTTTGCAGATTAAAGTTGGCTTCTTCAGGTGGTTGGAATGTCAAACTGAACCCTTTATTTCGCTCATTGGGGTAAACTGTTCTAGTTGCACATGCCATGTTTAATGGATGTCAGTTATCAGTTATCTCCTGTTAATTCCCATCTCCAAGTTCTCTACTGCCTTAACCGGGTATTTAACTCCTTGGGTCCTGTCACTGGATCTAACCAACCAATGACACATGACACAGTGGATAAAGGCATTGGTTAGATCCAGTGACAGGACCCAAGGAGTGTGAGTTCAATACCCAGTTAAGGCAGTGGAGAACTTAGAGAGGGGAGTTAACAGGAGATAACTGATAAATGATATCCATTAAACATGGCACGTGGAACTAGAACAGTCTACCCCAGTGAGTGAAATAAAGGATTCAGTTCGACATTCCAGCCACCTGAAAAAGGCCGGTGCATACAACGGCCAAAACGTAATAAATATGGCGACAAAGATGAGACAATAGTCTGAATAATGTAAATATTATAAAATTTACAGTTACATCTAGCCAGCTCAACTGTATATTGATGAGATCTTATTGCCAGTCAAGTACTGCATTTAAATTCATAAAGTCTTGGTACCATAGCAAAGAGCTCTTTTGAAAAATTAGCAGGAAAGTATTTATAGAAAAGACAGAGAGGCAACCTTACAGTGGTGGGAAAGGTGACTGAATCCAAGGAGCTGAAGGTAAATAGCAGGTGCACTGGATCAAATGTAGCAGCAATATTCTAAGCATGGACGAATGGTAGACATAGATATATATGATAGATTCTGGAGAGAGAAATTTTCTCACATGAAACAGTGAACCAACTTTCTTAGCAGCTGACCTAGCAATGGATTTAATATAGTCTTTCCATTTCATGTTAGCTAAAAATGTTAGCTCAAGTAGGCACAATGAGTCACTTTCCTAGAGGTTAACATCAGCCATGCTGATAAAAGGCAGAGAGGGGTTTCTCAAGTGATTAATAGAGAAAAGTTTAGTTTTGAAGGGGTTAAAATTAACAAGTCATCTTTTTCTCCAGTTACCAACATACTTGGGGTTATTTTGGACATCAGCTACCATTATGACCTTATCGAACTGATCAGACTTACTATTGAGACAAGAGTAAATGGTTGTGTCATCAGCATAGATACCAAGCTGCTGTCATCGAGAAGGTCATTAATGAAAATTAGAAACAAAATAGGACCAAGGATGGAGCCCTGGGAGACAGCTGCATTATTACAAAAGGATCTAGACAAGTGGCCATTCAGGATAACTTTCATTTCATAAATTGATAGAAAAGACTGAATTAGTTCAAAAATGTGTCTGGAGACACCATAACTTTTCAGCTTGTGGAGAAGACCTGTATGCTAAACCCTGTCAAAAGCTTTTGAGATATCCAAAGCTACAGCCCAGGATTCACCATTTTTATCTAGAGCATGAGAGACTCTTTTCGCAATTATCGTCAGTACATCAGCAGTAGACCTTGAGAAGAAAAAGCCATATAAACTAACTAGATTTTCTAAAAATAATGCATATGTTCTACTTAAAACAGGATAAAAATAATGTTAAACATTATTTATATTTTATTTAAACTGTAAGAACAAAGGATAAAATAAAAACTGAAATTCTACCTGTCCTAATAAGCATCAGAAAAAGTAAAAATAAAATCTAAAGAAATACAAAAGACCAGTAATGCTATAATCAAGAATGTGTTATTTGTTTGAAAATAAATTTTCTTTAACCTTATATAACCAATAGTTTAAGAATAATTTTTTTATTCTATATGCTTTTATTAAACTTAATATAATGAATAAATTTGAAGGCACTACTAAAACAAAAATATAGCATAAATGTAATTTGAATTAGAGGAAAACATTTATTCTAAGAGTAAATTTTAGAAAAATTACTGTATAAAGTATTCTTTTATGCGAATGAAATAGGAAACAAATTATGCAGGAAAAATA